TATCTTCTCTACACAATTCACAAGAGAAACAGCATACGATACTGATATTATGATGTAATATTCTGTCTATCATATGACTATACATAACTTTAATTTATAGTTTAGAAATTTTTTTACTTCTAACACATAGTGAAAGCAAGGATGCGTTATTTTCACTCAGTTTTTGTGGTTACTCCGTCATAACACGGGTAACCACTTTGTTATCGTGTTGTAAGCAAGTTAGTAAGTAACAATATCACGTGATACATTTCCATGACAACTACCTGATGACGCTGATGACGCCGAGTCTCGGCGCTGACCAAGAGGAACGGCGGCTCTGGGTACGAGATTGATGCCTTGTAGACTGATGCATTTCGATGAGATAAACGAATAGTTTTTATATACAATTTATATTCAAATTATATACAAATTCCTTTGTTTCCTATTGTATAATCAACACTATTTAGTAGTAATTAGTACTATTTGTTTCACGCTTTAAGTGCAAGCACTCTACTGATTACAATAATTAATTATAAATTATTAAGTTCTTCCGCTGGTCCAAACGCGACAAAATACAAAAGATACATAGATTGACAAAAAGGTAAAACTAAAGTCAAGATTGTCAAAGTCAAACTAAGTACGAGATTGTCTAGGCATCAGAAGTACGCGCATGTGCGGATCGCATGGAGCTTCGAGTAGTATGCTTACGAAATCGAATCAATGACCTTTTAACGTTAGACAGTCTTGTGTGGGCAAAGATTTCAAATCTAGAAACCAATGCATTCCTATGAGATCACAGATACCACATTTGTACTCAAGTACATTAAGGCCTGGGATTTTAGCCCATTTAAAAGAATATTAAAAACGCGATATTTTCACCACCATTTGTCGTACAGCAATAAGACTTGGAATAATAATTAGAATCAGGTTCCTTAATATTTTTGAGTATATGTTGTCAAATTTTCGAAGTCACGTGACCCAACGGATAGGAAAACGGTAATTTCAAAATGGGGTAATGAAAGCATACTTTATTGAAAGTTTTTTTGACGTCAAACTATTAAGTTTAACTAAATAAACAGTACTTGGCCTAGAATAAATGACTTTTTATATTTACTGATGAGAAAATGGCAGATTTTGAGAAGTAAAGTCAGGTCACGTGACCTTTTTCACCAAATATCTCCTTAACGGAAAGTGATGGGCAACCATTCTAGGCCAAGAGTTATAGATATTTAACTAAGAAAGGATATGAGGCTTTATACAACTTTTCAGTAAAATCAGACGTTTTGATTGGTTGGCTTTCGTGTGTTATCAAAGTATAGATACACGGATTACGTCAAAACTAATTGTTTGTTGTATAAAACAGATAGATCTCATTTTTCCGTGCGTGTGTACTCTAATAGATACACAGATGACGTCAAAATGTAGTGAGACCAACAGTCACGCACTCGACTGCGTCTCGTGCGTACTTTTTTGTTCTCACTACATTTTGACGTCATCTGTGTATCTATTAGAGTACACACGCACGGAAAAATGAGATCAATTGCAACTTCCCCACATACGAATGTCTTGGTTTTCACACTGATTATATATCAACCTATGGGTAACACATTTTTAAAATAAAATGTGGATAAACTCTGTTTTGAAACAAAGTTTCTTTTGTATTAAAAGATTTTGTCCAATCATAAGCACTCAAAACAATAGCCAAAAGATGCTTCTAATTTGCTATGTTCCCCACATAGAATTGCTATTAATATTAAAGCTAAGGAAAGCTTTTATAAAGTTAGAATCAGATATTAAATAAAATATTTAAAAATGCGATTACTTTTGAAATTATATCAGATTTTAATGTTTTAACCAATGAGATGGATGGATTATACAATACACAATTAGCACCTTCATGCATTCCATTGCCGTTTGCTTGCCTGCTTCTTACTCGGTCCATTACTTAAATTCCTTAGAAATGTACAAGTATTAAAACAAAAGATCACAATATCAACTAATGATCATTGTTTAAAATACCTGAGGGAAACGTGTGTTCCAGCAAATAATATTATTTACACTATGAACGTTCCAAACGGACACCTCACAAGCCACTAATGAACTCAAGGATCAGGGCGTGCTATCCCAATACTCGTTTGTCGATGTTTTGAACGTTTCGATTTTAGCCCAGTATTGTATTTAGATAAAGGATCGTTGCACAAGAGTAGAAAATTTGATCTTCAAAAGTTCAAACCTTAAGGGAACTTGTAGAAAGCTCTATTTTGGGGGGAAAACCCACTGACTCGTGCCGCAAGGTCCGGAATTTCAGGCGATGATTAAGATCCTTTTGATGCACTTAGTGAATGAATCGCGGCTTTTGGTCGTCTAGATATTTCCGCCAAAGCTAAGACCTGTGATGTACTCTCTCATCTTGCCCTGACCATCGCCATTATAGCGCACGCAAGACACGAAACAACAGATGCAACTGAGCTCCACAAGACCGCGGCTTGACCATCATGCATCTGGACAATAGACCCGAACACAACGCCGCAGTTTGCTATTTCCTTGGTAATAAAAGCCGAAAATACTGATCAAAAGTCTGCCATTGATTGGAGACCTTCCTTGCAGACAGAACAATGATGAGGATTGACAGCACAAAAGGGAGACAAAGAATTAAATCGCGGCTTTTGGACGTCTACAAGGATATTTCCGCCAAAGACCCCTTTTGTGATGTACTCTCTCATATCCTTGGCAATCACGCGGGTGTGAACTTTCGACATTGATCAGGTGATTTTTTGGCTCCTGAAAGCAAGCCGCATCACTTTCGGTTTTGGGAATTGTCGAGGACCCGGAAAATACTTGAATGCTAATTCTTGCTCATGTCGAACCGCAGACACGGAAAATACGCATGCTAATTCTTGGTCAATTCTTGCTCATCTTGAACCAGACTCCCGATTGTATACCAAGAACTTTAAACGACAAATCTTTAACAAACTTCACAATCTGAATTCTGATTGCACAACACGACTGACCTCGCTGGTGTACCACGGGAATATCTCGTGATATGAAAGGGAATATTATATTTATAAAACGTTTTATCGATTAGATTTTAATATCGTAAGAAATTTCCTTTTGTTTCTGAAAACTGTCACTGAAAACTGTTTTTTTTTATTCACTTTCTTTCAACATATCTTGTTTCCTCTTTCCATGAAACACTTTCTTCCTCTATTCTCTCTGATATTTATCAGTAGCTTATGATTGTGATCAGAAAATATTGATCACTCGTCGATAACTCTATACTTACAGCATCTGATTTTGACGTAATTTGAAGACCAAGTGCTATCATTAATAGCTAATGACTCTGCTAGAAATTTTGATCGAGAAGAAATAGGGTTGTAGTGGTGTATGCAGTGACGTGGCCTTTGTATCAGAATAATGAAAACGCTCTCACTAAACTTGGAAAGAAAGTGCGCGGGCAGTAATCATAAGGTGTAATATTACTGCGAAATAATCAAAAATATTTCAAAGTAGGATATTAAGTCTAATTACTTACATTGGAAGTTTAGTGTTCCTTTCTCAAGTGAAATGTCTCACACGGAAGTGTTATATGTACTTGCGTAACAAAGGTCAGTCCAAATCATTGCGTCACTAATGTTTTATATAAATATTAATTAATATCTCATTTGTATATTAATTAATATTTTTTACTGTGTTTAATTTTCTTCTGTCGTCTTATTATTGTGGTCGATTCCAATTCTGAATCTCCCTCCATCGAAAAAGCGACCGAAGTTTTCGATGCGACATTAACAGATTGGAAGACAATATGGCTTCATTTAATAATAAGCTTCTGTAAGTAACTATCAGTTTTGTCTTTGCGATGAATTCTGATTTTATATTATAATTTTCCGATTTTATGAAAAGATTTGTTGATAAAACATTGGAGATGTTTACATCGTGGGTTTCCTGTGCACTGTATTGCATCTACAGCAAGGAGACTTGGTACGACAGATTGCACCATCAGTTTCGCGGGAAAACTGGAACTACTTCGGTATCATGTGATTGTTTACAATGCGATTCAACGGACCAGACGTCCTAGTAGACGACAAAAATGCGTTGAGTTTCACACCTTCGTTGACTGCTTAGTGTTGTAAACTATAGAAAAACAGAAAATGTAAGTTTTAGTTTCCATTGTCCTAGACAATTTGCGTAGATTTGGCGCGGGATTACGAGTATTTTTGTCAACTTCTTGTCTCTTGCCGTACATGCCGTTCATGAATTGCTGTCAGAATTTGTCATTTTGAATGAAATTATAGCTCAAAATATGCCTAATTAAGGGTATATTTTTCAAAAAATGTTATCAATATATCGAGAAGTTAGTTTTTGTCGTAATGTATTGTAAAGTACAAACGTTTTTGCACATTTAAGATCGGAACATCCAGTTCAGGATGCCCGGGACCTTTGGAAAATCAACTACTTTCAATTGATAAAATCCAAAAAATTTTCTCTAGTTGAGTAAATTTAGTCATATTATCGTTTATAGACTGTCGCACACTAAGTTAGCTTACATGATCTTAGTTTACACTCCTCAGGAGTTCAACTCTATTCTGCCACCTGCCAAACAAACTATATTGTGTGTTCCATATTGAGTTTTATTATTTGCATTTAGGGGAATTTTGATTATTTAGTTTGTTTCACTCGAAATTTCATTTGCCTTTTACCAGTAAAGTCTGGCCAAACAAGAAATAATAATTGGATCAGCTAACACCATCAAACAGTTGTTGACAACAAAAAATTTTGATGTTTGGACAGATGGTGTTAGATGTTGTTTTGAAAATAAACATGCGGCTTTGCTGCTACACTGCTTCATTCCTACACCCTTTGCCATTGCCTTTGGGAGTATTAAAGGTTTTGAAAATTTTCACACAAACTATGCCTCAATTTACCTGTCAGTCAATTTCTATTATTTTGTAATCTTACAAAATCATGCAGACGTTATGCATATTATAAATTCTTAATATATTCCTTTTTTGCTATTTATTTAGCAGTAAAATGTGGCGGGACAAAGTTATAGAGGAGATGCTTAAAGATGGGAACTTCAAAATCAAGTTAATTAAGATGTTCTTTGGCAGTGAGAATGATCAAGCAGGTGCCTTAGCCGCAAACCCTGATCATCATCTTAAAGAATGCCTTAAAGAACTAGATGAAAATGCTTTCTGTAAAATCAAAGAACAATTCAAGCATAATATCTCTAACCATATGTCAAGAAAGGTATCAGAAACAGATGATGATGAGAACTCTGATGAAGTTCTGCCTGATTCTGAGAAGACACCAGGTGAAAATGATCAAGAGCTAGAACTCGAACAAAATAACAATTTTTTAGTGCCAGAAAACCCAGATGCTGAAATTGTCTCTGGGATAAACAATGTGTCCAGAGATAGATCTTTTAAGTTCCCTGGTAATGGTCCTCATAAGTCAGCTAAACCTGCAGATCATGAATCACCATCAGAGGCCATTGAAAATGACTCTCAACCTAGATCCAGGCGACCTGATGGTATGGGGCCAGCACATGTCCAGGAAACATCAGAGTATTACTCCTATCATATTCAAAGGAGATGCCAGGTAAGATGCTTTTTCCAAAAAGAAAATCTTAACAAGATTCCAGGATTTGAAGACACTGGAAGTTCTGTTTTTAAAACTACAAGAAAACCTTTGTCTCAGAAAATCTTACAGTTGTTTGAAAAGAACTGTGACCACCTAAAATATTCAGTTTTGTTGTTTTTATGGATTAAAATTTTCAACATACCTTTCATCTTTTTGAAATCAATAGAGGCCATGTGTAAAAGAACTTGTGCAATAAAGCATGGTGGTATTTCATGTGGTCCTCATACCTTTTCTCTTAGATGTTTTCACTTTTATTTTGCAAGTTGTGCTATTACAACAAAGAAAGTATAAAAACAACTGTTAGGGAGACTATATTTAGAGCTGGCTAAATCTACCATCATGCTTTTGTGTACAAAATGGTGCTTCTGCACCTTGTCTACTGTATATTGTGAAGGATGATCTAAGGTAAATTCATTATTATATGAATTATTATTCTTTGTATTTTTTATTAGCAAAATCAGTGTGTGCCAGAAATTAGGTGCCAAATTTGCCGTCATCCCATAAGTTTACAGGTGGTTGATGTAAGTAGAAATTAATTTTATGGTATTCAAAGAGTAAATATATACTATGTAGAGAACAGTCACTATAAAATGATTTCTTGGGTTAATTTTAACTTTTTTGTATGAGCTGTATCTTTGTAAGGCACATGAAATGCCTGCAGCTATTTAAGGTCCACTGGTTTATGCTGTAATGCTGAATTGTTTGATGGATGTATGCATTCTTGAAGTTACACCGGTGAATAGAACATAAGCTCATACTTTAAGTATAGTTTACAACATGAGCGGCCGTGTTGTATGGGAATTACAATCTCGAGCCGCAGDCKMGAGATTGTAATTCCCATACAACACGGACGCGAATGTTGTAAACGACTTATAAAACTCCAACACAAATTAACATGAATTACAGTGARATAAATGACGAAAAATGACAAATAAGGTAACTGCTGAGTTTAGTCCCTATTAAGCATGCGCAATTTACTGCAACACAGAACATTTTGAATAATTATCCATCCCACATGGAAAGCAAGCCATCTGTTGCATAAGCCAGTTCTGTTATCCGTCTTTGATTGCTTCAAAACCTAGTGAAGGTCTATGATGCGACACTAAAACTGAGACCTTTGCTAGTGTTGGGTTGTCTCAAGGTGACGACCGTGTTGTAAATCTTATACAACACTAGTGTTGTATCACAGTGTTGTATCTGATTTACAAGGTCAATCACCTGATGAAATGGACAACCCTTATTGGAGTAATAGCTCATGCATTATTAATAAGTTTTATAAGTAATATATACAATATGAGCGAATATTGTATATTACTTTATCAAACGTTAAGGTAAACTAACTCAGGTTTTAAAGAAACTTTTCAAAAAAAATTCAATCTGACCAAGAAAAAAAAGTTAAAGTTTATGCAAATGAACAAGAAATCTGTATGTAATATACAACTCTCTTCATGGGTTATGATTTCTATTGTGTTTTGCCTTATGAATATTAATTAATTTTTATAAGACATTAAACATGTCAAGGATAATGGGTAGTTCCAGAAAATATCCGTACCATACGACGGGCGGCATCGATTTTCGACCCCCCCTCTCCTTGGGAAATTCCGAAATCGGGTATCCCCCCCTCCCCTTAGGAATTCCAAAATYGTGTTTTGCCCCCCTAGGAAATTAATTTCCCCCCTTGGAAATGAATGAAAATAAATATTCTCTTCAAAACAAGCACTGGTTTAAAGAACGCAATCGTAAAACTGTCAGATCGTTCGAAAACAATGCATCGTCTAGATTCGTGGAAGTGCTTTTAAAAAAACACGCAAAAATCATTGCTGTTGGAATTACTTATCTTATACCTTGTATAGTTAATTTCTATTAACAAGTGTTCAAAGAAGTGAGACTCGCAAGAAAAAATAAACTACGCATGGTGATCTGCGACCAAGACGACCGAGACGCCATTAATTTCTGTCAAGAAACCGCTGACCATATGTTGTTTACAATCGCCGATCACGGACCCACGCGGATGCTTTAAACTTTGTTAAAATGACTCTAGAATTAGCTGCGTTGCTTTCAATTTACGTATTTTGAATTCATATACAGTTTTAGATGTTTTTGTCGTGGTTTTCAAATGTTTTTATAGTGATTTTTTCGACTCTTAGATCGTGATCAACGTAAGACCCGGTTGAATGTGTCGAAGGTCGTTTTCTATAAGACATAATATGTCTGTATTTCCCCTCCCCCCTCCTTTGGATTTCCGAAATCTTTCAGTCCCCCTCCCCTTTGGAATTCCCAAATCGATGACCCCCCCTCTCCTCTGGATTTCCGAAATGCCGCCCGTCGTATGGTACGGATATTTTCTGGAACTACCCAATGTTGATTTTGTCATTTTGTATTTTTTTAGGATGTTTACAGGAAGAATGTTGAGTTAAATGATCTGAAAGTACAAATCTCACGGGCACAACAACAAATAGCTGACTTGCAGCAAGTAAGTATACTTAAAAGATTTGGCGTGTTTCAAATACTGAAATGAGTTGTTGGTCATTGTTGTATCACATATAGATTTAAAAGAATATTTCACTAGTCAAGAGTGATTATTATATTTAGAATACAATGCCAGTCCTTTTACATTTATATCCAAAGAAAAGCAAACAGGGTAGCATGGTCATGAGTGTGACTATAATGAGCTTTTTGGCAGTTGTGACTGATTTTGTCTTATTTTTTCTAACACAGATGTTAGAGACATTAAGGAATTACTGTGATAATTCTGATAGAATTTGGACATACTTTCTTCAGGTATTCATATTCTCTAAAAGTATAAATGAGCTAACCCCTGTGAGGGACATTACAAATTCAATATTTTTTTCTTTCATGTGTTCTCTTTATCAAATAAATATATATCAATTTTGATAATCCTATGCAATCCATTTTTTTATGCTCAAACAAGGAGCCATGCATAATGTATGTTTGCATGAGTAATTTTGAAATCAGATATACATTAAAAAGCATGCAAGAAAAATGCACCTTATAATATGCTATTTAAATTATAATTGCAGTTCAATTCATTGGGAACAGTGTTTTAAACAATTGTTAATTTTATTCTTTTTGTTAGGAGCTGGGAGAAAGGAAAGAGAAAATTGATGAAATAGAAAGAGAATTGGTGAGGTTGGAGAATAAATCTGAAAAGGAAAATGAATTGATTGAAAAACTATGGAAGGTTTGTCCTTATATTAAAAAATATCAAATTTAGATTTCAAAATATTTTCACCATATTGTCTGTCTCTGCAGGTTTTAGCAAAGAATGAGCTATTCTATAATATAAAACATCTTTTTGAGGATCTGCAAGATTAAGGAATAGCCTGCAGTCATTTTGCCTACAGCTATTACAAAACCTTAATCAAAATTTTATCATTGTAACAATTAGAAATGTAAATAATTATAGACTCAATAAATACTGACACTACACTACACGCACTCATAATACTGACTGAATGCAAATATTCAACATTAACTCCACTGAGTGTTATTGTTATGTAAATGTAATATTTCACAGAAAGACAGTTTCACCCTGGTTGATCATCCTCTAGATATTTGCATGAATTGATTTCTTTTTTTTCAGCGAAATGTGCAACTTGTTGAAGAATCATATGAAAATCAAAACAGATTGGATGAAATGCAAAAAGAGAAGAATAATCTTATTGATAAGATTGAAAAGATAGAAAACAATGCAGTTTTGCAGGTACCATTTAATAAGACATTTATTATTAATCAATGACAATCTCTGTTCTCATTGGTCCCATCTAACTATGGTTCCATGCATCTAGACATGTACCCTTAATTTGCATCAAGCGAGTCAGCCATTATAATTATTTCTTTTTTATATATTAATTTCTTTTATTTTCAACATTTAAAATAAAGAGACAGCAGCTGATTTATGAACAAAGTGCATGAACAAAACTTATCACACCTAAAAACTAGGAATCAATGGTATTATTCTATTTTTTCACACATTTGTTGTCTATATTCAAGACAACTGAAGGCAAATAATAGAGCACATTATAATTTTCATTTGAATTTGATCTTCATAGGACTGATACCAAACTCATGCAGTAGTCAAAGTTGTGCACTCGATTTCACAGTGCACCATCTTGATCTTCTTGAAAATGCAAAAAGCCAGAAGGGGTATCGAATGGTAAAATCTGAGCCTCGCCGAGCCTGCAAGCACCTCGTTTTAAAATCCGAGCGTGAGCCTTTTGTTGAACGTCTGATATTGCAATTGCAAGCTTTTAAGTCAAAAGCAATTTTAAATCTGAGCCCCTTATTTTTAGCGCCAAGCTTGCAAGCCCTTGCAAATTTTTGGCAAGTCTCGCAAATTCTGAGACACCATTCTATACCCCTAGCCATGAGGTCACATGCTTCCCTCTTCGCTTTGTATAGTTGAATGTATAAATCTATTGAATCTTGTTTTAGGAAAATGTTTACAGTGCACAGCTTTTGTCCATTGAAAACAAAGTCAAAGAAGAAGTTGAAAAACTACAGCAATCATACCTTGAAATGAAAACATTTTCAAGGCGAAAATTGTCTAAGAAGGTATAACACTGACATTTATATGATCAAGCATTGATTGCGACAAGTATATTTGATGGTTTGAAGTCATGCTTGTATCCAGATCCATCTCAATTTCCCAGCTGAAAATAAAAGGCACTGGCTGGAAATGATGCAACAACAACAACAACAAAGACACAAAACAATATATGCCCACTGATGGTAGATGGGAATTTTTGAAGCAATCAAATCAAAGACTCGCATTCCTGTCCAGGGAAAGTGGGATCCGGCCACGATATAGTGATGTGAAGTTTATGGCTGTCAAAATGCCATGGGGGAGAGACATTGATATTATAGAAATGAGAAGTGATTTACAATTATATGAAAAAGACCCACGTTGTAATCAATATATATTTGGATCATATGATAAACAGGGCCCATATGAATAACCTTTAAAAGTCATCAATAATTCATGAGCTTAAGTCATTTAATATATCTTTTTATTCTTTTGTTTACAGCCTTTCCATATAAATCTACATGTGTAGATTTTTCTCCTATAAACTTGACCTAGTCAAATGATGTGGCATGGTCCTGCTAATTGTGCTTTGTTACTGCTAGCTCATGGTATGGCCAGGTCATTATGTTATTGCCACAGTCAAATAGATATTCTCTTGTGGATGCAGTTATATCTACCAAATCATCAAGGGTAAGAATGGAAGAACAAAGATGGGCTACAACTGCTAGCTTCACTTCTTCCAAACAGACCTTCCCTGGCTGCTTAATAATATGTACAATTATGTGAAAAGATGAAAAAAAGATAGCAGGAGGTTAACGTAATTTTCAACTGGAAAACAAATATTGTCGATTAGCTCTTAATTATTTGTTTCATTTGAAAAATGCTATTTCATAATCAAGAAGACATTCATATATTTTGCAATAAGGAGCTTTTTTAATGCAAATTGTAATAAGTCTGACAGTTTCATGATGTCTTTGTACCTTTTCTACTTAAATGTATGAATGTTTCCAACATATATAGAGCAGGCCACACAGACTTGGGAAGGCATTTCAAAAAATGCTATAATATTAGAATATTAATGACAATATACCACCCACCTCATCACACACCACACAATCACACACGTCCTAACTTAAGATTAGCACCCTTCCTCCCTCCCTCCCAGAGGAAATGATATTTTTCAACAATGATCTCCTAAAATTTCATAGAATGTATAATGTTCACATTTGGGTGTATGGGGATGACAACAGTCCACTGGCGTTTCAAATAGCCTTCTTTTGAATTGCGGGGTAGTAGTGATGATCCAGGTTTCTATTTAGGGAGGGGCTATTTAATTTATTTATTTGTACACTACAGCAATATTTATAATAGTACATTAGAGTGTCCTATTTCCAAGTCATCAGCAGTGCCCAAGAAACTAAAACTGCTAGGAACTCTCAATTTGAAAATTTGTCCCTTATACTGTAACAATATTTATTATTACCATAACTGTTTTCTGCATATTTTTTATTAAATTCATATCTGATTTTGTTTTCCACATTGTTCATCATCATATTATGACTATAGATTTTTATCCCATTTTATAAAGTACAGGGTAATTTTTAGTGTGTGTGAAGTATATATTGTGAAATCAAAGTAATTTAAATAAGCCATCTTGCATAAATTAACTTATTTAATTAGAATAACTCCTAAAAGTAGGTAATGCTTATAAATCTTTAGAATGTCAATTAATATATATTACTAATTATAGAATGTAAAGTAAAATATACAACGTCAATTAATAATTATAGTTTAATCATTACATTCATTTATGCCACTAAGAAAATATTGATATATGTGAGTGACGCCTCAGTTTTTCAGTCTCATAAGTTTCACTTTTTCTGGTTTTCTTATTCACATATCAAATATTCTTATATCTGCTATGATTAGTTTAATTTTTGCTATCAGCAGATACATGGTCATTGACCTTGAAAATCAAAATTGAAAAATGCTTAGAATTTTGTGATGAAAAAGTAGCGCAAGCCCTGTAAAGGTATTCTGTGGACTTTATTCTATAATAACTGCATTTAGCTAATTTTTTTCATTGTTGATGCAAAGTTACTTCAGGATCAACACATGCAATAGTATAATTGTAATTTGAAATGAAATACCCTTAAGGTCATAAATTCATTTAACAATAAAATTGAAGCAAAATTATGAAAAGCCTGGGTTCTTTTGTTCATACCTTATAGATGCACCCCACTTGAACATAAATTTGAATATATTAAACCCCCTCACTCAACACCCAAGCCATAATTTCTCTGATATAGGGGAGAATTTAATGATCCAAACATTTTTCCGAGTGTGAACAGTAACAATAAGAAAATATATAGAGTGCTGGACTTTAAGTGACAAAGAGTGGGGGAAAATTTCCCCTTTTCCCTCCCCTGAGCCTGCCCCTGTGGAGAGTCGACAAAAATATCTTAATACCTGCAGACACTCTCTTGAGTGTTTAAAATGGCTTCAAAAACTCCAAAAAATATTTAAAACTCAAACCTGTCAAGAATTTTGGATAAATGGTTGTACAAATATTGTTTAAAAATCTGATCATGGGTCCACTGTACGCGGGACTATATCTAAGACTCGAAGGTTGACTATAACGAGATGGTGTTCCTGTAAAAGATATCAAGATGTCAACATTTTTTTCTTTGTGAATGCACCTTTTTAGTTGCTATATTATAGGCCTCAATAGCAAGTTTAAAATTGTTCTTTTGAATTTGACAAATGAGACTATTGACCACTTCATATCAATGCGTACATTGCTCATATTCCTAAAAATTCAAAGGGATATTTAACACGCTGAAGAGGCCTATGAGCAACTGAAAAGGTGTATTTATAGACTACCCGATATTGATCCCCCCCCAGCTCGCAGAGGTTCAGAGGTTCTCAGCATTTCAGCTATATCCGGGTATTTAATAAGCGTTGGTCATGTACTGCAGTGCATGAAAACAAAAATTCATCATAATACACCCTCCATAACAAAAGTAAAAACGTAAACTTTATGCTCTATAAATGGAGATATATTTTTGAAGCGTAAAAAAATTAATTTTTAGTAAAATTCATTCGCACTACTTTCCCGCCAATTTTGCACTTGCCAAGCCAGCCAATCATCGATGGGCGATCATGTGTGGAATCACAACGACCAACTTAGTGGCTCTGTTCAGTTGTGACGGTCATACACATGTGCCACTTGACAAGTGAAAACAGGTCTTCGGGATATTTTAAATCGAAAATATCTTCCACTGAACAAGCTGCAATTCATCCAAGCAATCAGAGTTGTCCAGTGACAAAAAGGTAATGTCAAAATCAAGACAAACTGGACTTTAGATAGGCAAAGAAGTCCGTTTTTTCCCCGTCTAGCTACCCTTGAATACGCTATTCGCTATCCTATCGTCTACATAAATTTCAACACATGGAAAACTGTCGGATTTCTCAAGGAAATACTTGTTTAAGATGTTGAGCGGTTTCAAGAACATGTCAGTCCTCTTCAATCAATCAATATTTCAACAAATTTTGTGTGAGGAATATACTGCAGATACTTTTTTGTTGGCTTCGGATCGAAGGCTTCGCAAGACTTCTCGTCACAAATGTCGACAGTATAACAACAACTTTTCTATTTCGAATTGTTATTTTGAATATTTATCATTGTAGTTTAACGCTAATTAGTCTTCCTACTCTACGCCTTTTTAATCGAAGTGTTTCTTTATTTATAGAGTTTAAAATAACTTGCTAATTGAATTTACAAGGTTTGTAACAACTGTAATGGCGACGGGACTAGCTCCGTCGTGAACTCTACGAAGAAAAATTGTATTAACTATAAATCTTCAGTATAGATTGACAGCTTTAAAATCATAATGTTGGAAAATTTAGCCAACAATATTAAGTCAATTTCAGCTCAGTAAGAAATCAAAATAAGGTATTAAAAAATTTCGAGAATCGTGTTTACATTCCAAATTTCCGTATGGTAATTTTCTTCGTAATATACAAAGCACATGCAACAGGGTCAGGGAATGTTTCAAACTGTTCCGTTTTTCTCTCAACAGGTTTTGGAGAACTTTAAAAAGAGTGTCACCTTTCTGTATTACTTTCGAAAAGTAAGCACATTTTTATGAAGTCGATATTTGTTGTCAGTTCATCAATTACAATGTTGTTTAAATATTCATAGACACCTGTAACACGCGATGGTATGATCTGCGAGAATTTCACAATTTTATGAAAATACAAAAGCCAATGCCAGTGACACATTTAGTTCACGAAGGCAATCGAAAAAGACAGAGGAAAAGAAGAAACTTTAGAACGATTAATTAGCTTATCAGGAAGTGTAATAAGTTTGGTGTTTATATTGCAAGTGTTTTACGGTCGGTGACCCCAGACGGAAGCGATACGGTTATAGATAATAATAGGATTAGTTTTGTCTGGCAAATTAAAAAACGTATTTTTCATATTCTTGATCAGTATTGCATTAAATGATTTTATTTCTTAGCTATTTCCACCCAAAATATTATTATTTTAATTTCAGCTAAAATCATTATATTATGGACGCTCAGCAACAACTACATGATCGTATCAAACATTTTATATTGAGAAAAACTTTTGAAATCGCATTCAATCTTTGTGACGGTGTTGGGAGAGTGGCTTCAGCATTGGATGGAGACGACTCAAATACAGATATCTACCATGTTGACTTCATCATTGGAATTATAGAGCAAATGTTGGAGTTGTACAACATAAAGTTTCAAAAATTACAAAATGCAATGGCATTCATTCTGGCAAACGTTGAGGTATGAAACCAGAAATTCAGGTATTTAGATGATATCGTTTTCATGAATATTCAATAATAGATTAAATAATGATGACAATTACATATAATAATCTAATCTTAACTTGTAATCAATAGTAAATTAGATATAATTCCATTTCAAAACAGATCGAGGGTGGATCCAAGGAGGGGCAAAGGGGTACTGTCGCCCCCTCCCTCATCCCTGGGCTTAAATTTTTTTTATTATGTCATATTCTTATATATTTTAATAACAAATACAATCGGCGCTTGCAGATCCACCAAAAGATGTATAATATCATCCATCTGTTAATTAATATATAATACCATCTGTTAATTAATATATAATATGTATATTATCGGTACTTGCTAGTCACTTTGTAGGTTTTCTAACTTAGGTTTTTCATTTATCTTTGTCATCACAACCAACTGTTTTATCACTAATCATCATATTGTTAACATTTATCAGATTACTGCATGAACAAATTAAACCGGTGTTTTAGAGCCCATCTCTAACAACATAATGGAATATCTTGCATATGTATATATATGCATGATAGAGTACAAACACTAAAACTGTGCAACAATAAATACCACTAAATACTGCTAAATTATGCTATTCTATTGTTTAATTAACACTATTTTGTAGTAAATAGTGGAAAGTGTTGCACACATTTAATGCTTGCAACTCTAAAATGTAATAGTGCAACATATTTGTATAATTTAGTGTGTTTTGTGAAAAACCCCTTCTAAATCTACAACTAACGTTTAAATGATTTTTAAATATCTTTTGTTCTTGGCTAGGATATTTCTGCCAGAACCCTTTCAATGTATGAAACCTCTTCAGACAAAAAAGATACCCTGATCCACATCATACTTTAAACTAAAGTAATTTTATGACAAGACAAGTAAGGTGAGTAGTTTTGTCTGTATTTCAATAAAGTGGGGTTTGGATGTGGTTTCTGCTCCTCCCCTGATCTAGATCCCCCCTAAAAAAATAGATATTCACCTTTTTATAGTTTTTCAGATAATTATCAATATTTTCACCATTATAGTTGTGCAATTAAATATAATTTTGTTATTTGACTTAAAATTGTACAATCATTCATGATAATTATACGTTTTCAGATTTATACATGGATTTAAAAGCACAAGAAATAATCATAATGCAAGCAATTTTTGATAGAATTCAACTCAATTAGAAATAAAATAGAATTCACTCATTTTAATTACATTTGATTATCTATGATATCGAGATAATATAGTTTTTAGAAGACGTATCTTATAATATATTTTAGATGTACTATATTCATATACACCTACTTGCAGAAACGTTGTCATAGGAAATAGGACATTTGTATAAATTAGTAAAAAGGAATAAATTAAAACAAGACAAAGGGAGATCACTGAGGCTGAACGCTTTCTTTTGTCTTGTTTTAATTTATTCCTTTTTACTAAATTCAAATGTTCTATTTTCTATGACAACGTTTTTGCAAGTAGGTGTATATTCATAGTTGTATATTTAATTCACTGGTGTTCAATCTTGTACAACCCCAAGCCTTCGTTCTTTTGGCCAACGCCAAAAATGTTTGTCGACTACGCTGGCCAAAAAAACGAAGGCTCGGGGTACGAGATTGACTGGTGTTATGGTAGGAAATTTATAAATCCTGCTGCCAAAGGAAGAACAATCAATCATTTTGATTTTTAACCTATAATTAGCAATGCTTTGCTCAGTAGATTAGCATTGACCAGATGTATCCTGAGGTATTGTGTTCTCTGCACTTGACGTCAAATTTATTCTTTTGAATTTTTTACAATACAAAAGGAATTCAAAAGTGTAAATTTTCAAGTGTAGAGAACACAATACCTTCAGGGACTTATTAAAAGGCTGTATAATGCAATTTTATGGTGGTTCTGTACAATATATTATATTATCATTGTAACTTTAGTTATAGCTATGTATCACATTTTATCCTTTGTCGGGTGATTTTTTTTATCATCTTATACAACAGCAAAATGAATTGTTTCAACCATGATAGCCTTTTTGCTGTATAATAACATTTTTTTATTTTTATCAAAATAATAATTATTATTAGTTCATTCATGTAGAGTACAAACACTAAAACTGTGCAACATAAATACCACTAAATACTGCTAATAAATTATGCTATTCTAATGTTTTCTATTGTTTAATTAGCACTATTTTATAGTATATAGCACAAAGGTTTGCATGATTTTAGTGTTTATACTCTACCAAATCAGATAAATAATAATCATTTTATAAGTAATGTTTACAACATGAGCGGCCGTGTTGTATGGGATTTTACAATCTCGAGCCGAAGTTTAAATAATAGAGTTTCCATCACAACAAATCCTGTAAAGAAAAAACAAAAACAAACGATAATCAAAACTTTCGTTGATGTTTACATGTAAAAAGAGCTGTTCAATAACAACAGAAACCATAGGTTTCTGATAACAATTTTCAACAACAGCTTCAGCACTTATTTGAACGATAGAGACTTACTTAAGTAGCACAAAGTCCTATGTCTAATAAACAACGATGACAAACTAAAAGAAGCAAAGATGTCATTACAAATGACATTGCGTGACACCGATGTCACAATGTTAGGAACAATAAATCGTGTATAACGTCCATGGAAACTGAAAATGTTAATTACGTACGATTTGGCTTCTAAAACCAAATGACAACATCAAACATCAAAGGCAGGAAGACATTCGTTTCTTCACGCACGAATAAATTTACACAAATAGCCAAAAAAGGAATGTAATGCTTCATGGACATAAAATGTGCTTATGGTGTATTTTTACCAAATAACAGAAATAAGCACGCACGCACGCACAAATGGAAAACGCAAATCAGCACTTTCATAATACTACTAAGACATTGATTGCCTTTTCTATTTATACAGCAGCATCTTGATTAAGCCTAGTTTTAACCAAGCAATATGTACCGGTATATATTTTTCAGACTCCAAATAACCTATTTGGTCCATTTAAATCTAACTAAACCAATAAAAAAAAACTAAAAGGTAAGACAGAAATCTAATTGTGAAACCATCCTAAATTGTTCTGCACTGTTCTACAGAAGATATTACTTTAGATGAATAATTGTTAAGCTTTTATCTTTTAGAGAGTATTTATTTCATGAACAGGGTTGAAATTTGCAGTTTTTTGTAAGTGAAGAGAGTTGTGGTCAACTTACAATTTTTGACATAATTTTTCTCTCTTTCATACAGTTGTCATTCAACCATAACATGGGAAATGTTTGAGAACTGTCTGCAAATGAACAATAGCCATGTTCTTTCCCACAAATGTGCTTGCTTAGCACTTTCTGTAGTGATAATATTCACATGAAGTCACATGCCTGAGGTCATGTATTCACATGCTTAAAATAATCTTTTATGCTTAAATGCTAATGATATCTGTCAGTATCAATGAACTTGAACACAATCAAGATGAATCCACACAATACCATTTTCATTTCATCTTGATTGTGTTCTAGTTTTTCATTTTTAATTCATCTTGATTGTCTCTAAATAGCCGCTATTTGTTAGTGCTTAGTTTGGTTTTATTTCATGGTTTTCCTGTGTTTGCTCTATAATTTGAAATGTATTAGATATTAAAAAAATGCAATCTTTTAGTCTTTTTATGATTTGTAATTGTATTGAAAGTATCTCTCTATGTATTAATCATCATTAAATACCAGCTAAAATTGAAAAATATAACATGCGTCACAAATCATTCCATGGGAACCCATCCAGGTGTAACTTGTATTAAGCTGAAAAATATATTCTAGAATTGAGCACTCATGCACAAAATGTCTGAATTAATTACAAAATGAAAAAACACTCTCTATATGTATGATTATTTATATCTTTTCACTTAATATTAATATTGTTAACAAGACACTAGTAGGTTTGCATGAAGCGAGACTAAGATAACTTGTTGAAAAAACATATCTTCAGGGAACTAGCTGTGAAATGACCTTTAGATAAGTCAATACTACATGTACAATTATTATTTAAAACCTATATTATATTTGTGCCATGGAATGTAGCATAGAGAACGTGGTTGTTTTTTGAGCATGAGCATGCGTTACTAAATATGACGTCTGTAACGTATGTAAGGATTCGTACCAATGAAATCTGAAATTATTTATACCGTAGTAAGCACATGTGACAAAAATATGCAAATTACTCTAACGAAGGGCTACGTTGAATTTTCACTTATCAACAGACTCTCGGATTAAAGGTAAGATAACTAGACATTTACTAAACATTATTGAATTCAGAAAGGTTGTAATCAAAGACATTACAGCTTCGTGTACTGTTGAAGGCTTAAATGTTGTTAGCCAAGATTTGGAAAACATGCTGTAGTGAGGTTAAAGTCCATGTCATGAAAAATCACGAGATTAATAATGTTATCAGAGTTGTGAGACTAACAAATCACACACAATCATACTTTGAAGGTTTTGGCATTAAAGTGTATGTTTTGGACAAACATTACATGTTTTAGAAACCAATATTGCTCACTTCTAGTCCGCCATAACATTGCGCAACACCACAATATTGATTCACCACATGGGATGCTTGGAGCAAAATTTACTCCAAAATTAACTAAATTCGATGGTTCTTAAACTTGTTGCCTACAAATATTAATGATATATATGTTTCCTAGTATTTCTGGTAAAAAACTGGTAGCATTCTTTTCGATTCACACTTTAATAAAGATCATGTGACACTGCCACTTCATATTCAAATGAACTTAACTTTCCTGATGAGTTTGAAGTCACTGAAAATACATATTCAGAGAGGGAAGATGCTCTGTGTCTCCCATGGTGTGTTGGTTAAATATGTTAACTCTCTATTAAAAGATTATAGTACATACAACATAAAATAGTAGTTTTTTTTTGAAAAAAACATTATAATTGAAAAAAACTTTGATTTGTGCTTTTAAGATCTGGTCTTCATTTGCCTTTAGTTAATTAGTCTCCTTCATGTTTTCCTATGCCATCGTGAAAGGTAAACCTACATTGCATCGAAGCAAACATGACTTTTGAGTGTGCTATGATAGAAACCCACACACTATGGACAATTATTCACAGGTATCTATCATTGTTTGCTCAACAGTTGTCTCACTTCGATGCACAGGTTTTGGCCACCTTTCAAGATGGTGAAGGGAACCGTGAAGGAGTCTATTATGAACAAAAGGAAAATGAAGAATGTTAGCAAAAAATAATATTGAAAATTTGGAATCCTGTTTTTGTTTCTTCTTGCTAGTGTTATTGCGGTAAATAAAGCGACGCTGTGCCTTCTTTGATACGGCATGACCTTAAACAATGAGTTCACTCACTGACGTCTGTATGTAAATTTCAATAGGATCATGTAATAGTCTAGATAGTATTTTGAGTGAGGAAATGAAACTTTTTGTTCCCTTTATGTTTGACCTGTACCATTTTATCATATTTAAAATGATCTTGCGAGTAAAAACCAAGCAGTTCATAATAAGAACCCTAATCCATATGCCTGCCATCCATGCAGGATAAAGGTAAACTATCTTGCAGTGATATTTGCATACTCCACATGTAAAGGTCATCTAACAAAAACCTACTCATGAACAATGTCTAGATTCATGTCTTTATAACTGCATAATTACCACAATGCCTTACTAAAGAAATTGTAGACAAACTTTTCATTTAAAACCTTTGGGTGTGTCTTTGTTACATCTTTCACACTTGCTCAAAAGTTATGAAGTAATAATGAAAAATTGAGTGAATATCATGGTGTTTAATCAAGTTCAGAAAGCAATGACAGAAATGTCATAAGAATCTATCCAGGTTTTGTTCATTTGCTAGCTCTTTCCAACAACATTAGGAAGTATTCATAAGGACAGAATGTTTATATGCCAGGTTCAACCTTTTCCCAAGATATTCCATCATGAGTTGTGAAGAAGTTTGAGCCTATATAAAATAAACCTCTGAGCAGCAAGAGTAAACGATATGCAACACTAGCCTCACGGGAGGTAGTATACTGTACTGTACTGAATTAGAAAGCCCTGAAAATTCATGGAAAAATGGAAAATATCACGTCTTACGTCATAATGTCCTATCAATTCTGATTGGATCAGAAGATAAATTCATGAAACTTTGAAGAAATCAAAAGCAAAACTGCAGATTTCATATGGGAACCAACAAATGTGTGTTAACAATATCGATCATTCTAGATGGTCTGGATCTATAACCAACCCAAAATGAATCTCATTCAAACAACAGGATTTAGTAAGTCTACTTGCAAATGTTTGAAAATAGTTATTTCTGCATGATTTTGTAATCTGCAATCAGAAATCATTTAGAGCCAAATTCACAATGTTAAAATTAAAAGTAGCAGGAGCACATGTTTTCACTTGAAAAAGAGTGCCAGACTGGGGAAGCAGAAGAAAGGGGTGATAGTAAGCAGAATGACTCTGCTTCCTTGACCACAACTTTCTCCTCCTTATTCTGCCTTAGATGTGAAAACCAATGCTATATCTTGCACCATTCATAATTGTTAACACCGTAAGAGGTGATCGGGAAGAAGCAAATTGAGATGTTGGCACTTTCTCTTTGCTTCACATGTTTTCCGAAGATCACACGGCTTTGGTAGCCATAGAACCTTTAGAATCGTCTAGAGCACCAATCGAAATATGCTGATATAAGCTTACCTATTACATTCTGTTGCAATAGACACTCTATTCTATAAGTTACTAGCTGCCGTCACAATATTCATCTCTTTTTCAACGTTCGTTTGGTGAAGAATCATTTCACTTTCTCTTTCATTCTTACGGTTATGCTATCTGTCGACTTTCAATGGAGCAGAATTGAGGGAGAAAGGACATTACTTATAAAGCAGAGATAGTAGAGGTTAACTTTAAGTTAAGCTTAATTAACTTAAGAATGCTACGAAATATCAGAATTCAAAAGAATTTGAGAGCCTTCAAAAACAAAGTGAAACGGTTGAAATTGTACTTACTTCAGTTCTTGGTGACATGATTTCATAAATCCCCGAAAATTCCGAGAATCGTATACAGACTATGAATTATTTGTTCACTCTTGGACATTTTTCAACCCAGGGTCCCCGTCTCTCATCACTGCGCATGCTTGATGAAATAAATACAAGCGTCAAGCGTGCCGTCAAGCGTCAAGTTACGTCAGTTAATTTTTCCGAATTTATTCCTAAGGGACTTCTCCCGGAATTGCCTCCTTTTAAGCACTATAACTTTCTTTCATTTCTATATACGTCAGTTACACACTGTAATAAAAAAATCCATGATCTAGACAGCTGGGCGGATCCAGGATTTTTTTGAAGGTGGGATGCAAAAGTTAGACTGGTGGAGAGATATATTCATTGAGATTGACTAGTTTTGAACCATTAACGATATAAACTGAGTTGAGTCTAAAACCTTTATATTATCGGGTAAAATGCTGCCACAAATAGACTAAAGCGTAATATATTAGTAAGTTTTTTTTCAAGTTACCACTTTCATAGGGGGAGGGGGTTGCCCATGTCTAGACCACAATGCAATTTAAACTTTTATCTTTAAAACCGTGTGTTGTCTTTAAAACCGCCAATACTGATAATGAAAGCCACTTCCTTCCTAATAAAAGTCACACCTCATTCTCCACTCAAATGCGAATCTTATTATGAATGCTCCCGCCTTGGGTGGAATACTTCGATCCTCACGCATAGATAGTACTAACCTGAGTATCAGGAAAAAATCGCGCGCTTTAAAGGTTGTATATTTGATGTAAATATTATGTAAGTGTCCAAAATGATGTAAATTTGATGTAAATTTACATCAAGTTTAAGCATCAAATTTACATCATTTTGGACACTTACATAATATWTACATCAAATTTAAAACCTTTTAAATTGAACGATTTTTTCCAGTGTCGGGGGGGACACAGCCACCTCGAAGGCCTGATACTCAGGTTAAGATAGTACTGATAGGATTAGTTGATTAGTTAGCTTTTATAGTCAACACTCGATTTATACGGACACCCTCGTAACTACGACTTTGTGTTAGCGAGACCTTATCAGCAGTAGTACGACTAGAACATTCACTTCGATATTGGTTACCAAATTGATAAAACATAGACTGAAACCGCGGTCCATTAGAGATTTATTCAAACCAGCATTTGTTGTAGGTACAACCAGCGGCTTCTATTAAGAAGCCTTCGTTCAGTCCTGACGTTTAGACGTCAAATAACTGATAGGGGTGGCGAATGGTCTTTCAAAACTAGAATCCAGGTCTCGCAAATTCACTATTTTAGTTCCAATTTTTTTTACTACATTTACGAATGAAAAGCAACCCAATTATGAACCACCAAGCTCAAATTTCAGATTTACAGAGCAGTTGCAAGTGACATCGCGTCAATCAAAAATATCAAATGGAATAACCACACTAGCCTGTGTACATCCGTTTCTCACCCCTCCAAAAAAATCGGGGAGATTTTTGGAGGGGTGAGAAACGGATGTACACAGGCTAGTCCACACAAAAGGAATTAGTGCTGTTTATAATATTATAAATGGCTCATACTAAAGGTCCCTTTCTGTTAAAAAAGTCTCGGTCTCGCAAGGAAAAACGCGATCTCACCGTCTCGCAAAGTCTCGATTTTACCATTCGCCACCCCAACTGATATGAGATATGTTCTCGGAAATAAATCATTCGTTGGCTCGTTATTCAATATATGCAAAGGTCACCAAAACAACACATATATCTAGCGCCTTTGATGAAAAGATCGCATATATCAGATATATACATATTTCAAACGGCGATTGTCAAACAAATGTTCACTTATTGGATTCCACTTGCATAGAAATGTGGAAACTAAATGGATCCAATGTAGCAACAGACGATCTTTCAGTGCAAAATCAGTGTTATTCTCATCTTAGCAAAACCCATGACTACTTTCGGTCATGCAATCGCTGTTCAACAACTAACATTCTCAATTTTGTCCGAAATCTATTTCTGTACGACACCTATTTCAAAAAACGTTGTCGGGGAGAATGGCTAAGGGAGATTGCACGACAATTATGGAGAAAAAATGGATCCATTGTTTATCACAGACTATCTTACGGTACAAAATAGTTGTTCCTTCTCATCAATTAGCAAAACCCAGGACTACTTTCGATCGTGCGATCGCCATTCGACAACTGAGATTCGCCATTTTAATTATCCGACAACCTTTTTTCAAATAGGTGTATACAGTAAAGCATTGTAAGTATATTTATTGGGCTTCCTGTGTAGTTCCCAAACGCTACAAAATACATCGATATGCAGATACAGATACATAGATTGACGAAGAGGTATAACTAAAGACGGTCTACATAGCTTGGCTAGTCCGACTTGCTAGGGAATGTAGAATAAATTCACAACCGCGACAAACAGGTATTATGAATATTCTGTGTGAAACTGAAATCAGTTGACGTGGTATCTCGTGATTCCCGATTCGGTTAATAATGTTTCATAGATATTAGAATTTCTTTTGTATCTTGCCATGTCCCACAAAAATACTGCTTTTAGAATTTAAACTTTATTTTCTCCGTTGCCATTTCTCTTCTGCCCTTTTCTATTTACTTTTCTTCCTACTCTACTGATCTCGGCAGTGATCGCGCATAATTTAATTGAACCTGATATATGGTAAAATATAAAGTCCATCGGTTATATTAATCCTGTGATTTCATGAGCAAGGTTCGTGTTTCTGAACTCAAATAATTCTATCAGGCTAAAACTATATTATTATACTATACAAAATGAATTAAAATAATGATGAAATACAGGAAAAAGTACATTATATATTACGTGGCAGACAATCAATACATTACAAATTTTATACGAAAAAATAAAATAAAAATAAAATACAATCTATTGATTATAACAATTACATTGTCAGACCATAAATGGAATATAAGAAATAAACTGTTATATTTATAAATTACCTTACTTTATGAGAAGTTGCTGACTCTCCCAAGATAACATGGTAATAATAGTCACACGCGGAAATAAAATAGCTGAAACAGCTGCGACGGAAATTAAAGTTCGGTCTTCCTGTCCCTCAGGAATCCCAGTCGTGGGTAAA